ATGCTGGCGACGAGCACCCGCCTCCTCTCTGCGCTGCTGAACCACCGGCAGTCGTCAGATTGGTGACATCCTCAGCAGGATGAGGCTTAAGCTACGACAGCCACATCAGGGTTTAGGGTTTAGGGTACAGTGGCAAACACATCAACGACAAAAACAGCGGCGACGCCTCCTTATTCTGCTAAGGCTGACGTTGCTCATTGTAGTATGCTGGATATCTGGCTTCTGTCGTTATTGCTGATGGCTATGCTGATGATGTGCGGTCGAGCCGCTGATGAAGGAAACTATGTCGGTATAGTCCTGGCAGTGCCGAATGCTCTGCTTACTCTACGTAATGACAAGTACGCAGCCACCATGAATAGCAAACTAGTTTCCACAAGTGTGCCAACCATGTTGTACCTTAACCCCAGCTGTAATCATGGGTCATCTGAGCAAACATGCAACTCGAGCCATCGAGGTTCCAGAGCTTCGGGCAAGAGGAAGCGGGTGTCACGAAGTGCCTGCGCCAAGCTTCCTGCAGGGTGTGGAGTTTGAGTGGAATTTAAAGTTCAGGGTGCCGTTTAGAGACTGTGTGGTTCCGGGTCTTGAGGCTTTGAAGCCTGACTGAGGAGGTGGCGAACCGAGAGTAAGGAACACCTTTCTGATAAGGTACGAGGGCTATCCACCTCCAGGTCACTGGAAAGACTCGAACGTTTCTTGACTAGCCCCAAACCCGAACCATCCTCACGTACACGAAAAAATTGGTGGACTTAGCCTAAACCCCTACACCCTAAACCCCTAAACCCTAAACCCTTAAACCCTAAGAGCGAGTAGGGAAGCCGGTCGAACTGCCAGGCCCGAGGTGAAGGTCAAGGAGGAGAAGCAAGGCAGATGGAGCTTATACTCCAGAAGTTCAGGGGCTTGAAATAAATAAATAAATAAATAAATAAATATAAATATATATATATAATCATAATAAGAATAATGATAATAGTTATATATATAGATATGTATATAGGCTTGAGGGTTCCAAGATTCCGGGTGCAGGCCTACAGGGTTTCCGAAATCATGACAGAAAGGTTATGTGTCTGTCTTGAGTGAAACATGCAAAAAGCAGGGAGAGAGGCAGCAGGGAGTGTTGGCGCAACCCCCAAGGTTAGGGTGAAACCCATGAGACCCCCCAAGCTGTAAACGAACAAGGTGTCGTTCCGATCGAGGGTGTTGACAATGGTGATGATGGCAGCAAGAATGGCAGCCGGACCAATCAAGATGGGAGTTTCCGAAAATTAGGGGTGCCCCTTTATAATTAGGATCCTACTATGTAGGGCACTACAAAAGTCCCCTTTTTTCGGAAACTCCCATATAGAAGCTGAATGATGACCAACACTGTTCTTAGGCAGTAAGCACCCAGGATTGTTAGAAGTAAGCCCCAAGCTTTATGAACAGAGAGAAGATCCTGCACAAAGCGCCTCATTCCCTTCGCTATGCCCTGTGCCTCACAAACCCTTCTGAGGCCCATACAAGGCTGCTTCTACACCCGAATAGAAAGCCTTTGCAAAAAGACTCATGCCAGGCTCCAAAGAGGCCGGGATGGAAGCCCTTCCATGTGCGTTCGAGTTTAGGGTTTATGCGGGAGTATTCCGCGAGTCAAGAAGGGTTGTTGTAATACTTGCGTGAGAGTTTAAGGTTTATGCTAAGGCTTTCTGCGAGTTCGGGCTTTATGTGTGGGTGTTTTGGGGGGTCTTGGGGATTATGTTAAAGCTGTGTGGGAGTTTAGGACTAATGTTTTGCTTTCTCTGTGCAAGTTTAGGGCTTATGTTGTCTTTTCCGGTGGTTTAGGCGCGTGTTATAACTTTGCGTATGTTCAGGTTTTATGTCATGGTGTTTAACGTGTTGGGGTGAAAATCATTATTTCCTTAGCTCGAAGTAATGTGATATACCTCAAAACCCTACCTCGAGAACTCTGGTTTAAAGTGATGCTGATGTGATGTGCAAGAAGTCCAACACTTAAACAAAGTCTCGCATCCCCATCAATGAACACCCTGAACATAAATTTCCAAATCTCAACCAAATCTCAGGGGCCCCTTGTTCTAGCACATTTATATACACTTAAAAGCACACGAAATATGAGACCTGATGCAACCCGGCAATCGAAGTAATTCAGCCCCCTGTACAATGCTGGGGGTTGGGTCGGAAGAAAAGAAGGCTCGCCCGAGCTCCCACAGAAAGGATTTCTCGACCCAATAGGGTTTGGGTTGGGTTTGGGGTGGAGGCCTCAGCAATTGGAATTTGGCTATGATGCATACAAAGATGGTGAGACTGTTTTTAGGGATGGTAGAGGGGACATGAAGTTACTGGCTACTCAGGCCGTCGCATCACGCCATGCCCCATCAAGCAGTTTTTGATTTGTAGGTGATATCACTGGCCTACTCAGGCCTTTAAACCATCCTCTGCGCCTATCTCGCGAAGGAAAAGACAAAGGATGTCCATGATCGCAAGACTTAAACCCCTGAACTGAAACCCTACCTTAACCCTGAAGGACCTACCTTCTTAAGGACGTATATAAGGAAATCATAGTAAGGAACCCCAAAAAGGTAGGTTACTCAGGGTTACTTGGAGGGTCGGGGGACTTAGTAACTGGTTATTTTAGGGACTTATAAGTACCATAACCCCAATTAGGATCCCTTTTAGGGTACTTATAAGTCTACTTACTACCTACTTACTAAGTCCCCCGACCCTCCAAGTAAGGTAGAAGTTACACCCACGGAGATTTGGGACCATCAGCCCAAACATCCTCGACCTGCACCTGCGGCCAAGTGAACGTGAACAGAGAGGGATTTCAATAATTACCTATACTATCTGGGGTGGTTCCAACTATAGTAAAAATAGGCCCGAAAACCCTACTCTAGTTATCAAGGCCCCTTTGGTATTGGAAAGGGACAAAATGTTGGGGCTCCCACAGCACCACATAGAGTCGTTGGAACGAAGGCTCAACCACGGATGAAGTTGCGCTCGGGTGGAGAAGCAATCTGCACTCCCCGGACCTGGAAACCTGAAGCCTGAACCCCTCAACCCTGCCCCATATCAAGGTCGATCTACTTTGCAAAAAGTTGGCCCTTATACTCCCGATTTGCAGTTAGCGATGGACTTCAAGTCCTGTTCCAATCTTCTAAGTAGTTCCCTATTCTGGCGCTCCCCGCGCTTGGGGGCCAGGCCCGGAGAGCCATGATCGAGAAGAGCACAGTCTTCGAAGCCTTGATGTCGCACATCCAGAATGCAGCTGGCCTTGTTCCAGGTTCCCAGAGAGGGCTTAGGGTTCGGGGTTCGTTTGCACCCCTTCATTGAGGACCTGTCCTTTCGGGTTTCCCGCAAGGGTTTAAGCACAATTGCGCAGAAAGGAGTATTTGCCACTTGTCTGCCCAAACCCAAAAGCAAAACGCGCTATAAAGCCTTAAATCCTGAATCCCCAAACTCTACGGGCCTAAAGCCTCGATAAAAACCACACGAAGCCCCCAAAAACGCCGAGGCTTTGGAGACCCCGGCCCTTCAATCGGCTGCCTTGCAGCTCCTCCGCCGAGCCGGGGACTCGGTAGTATAGGGACCTGAATAATTTGAATAATTTGGGGGTCGGATCATAAGTAGCCGTATGTCTAGACTATACATGATAATTATGAATATGTATATCTATAGATACATATATACATACATACATACATACATACATACACCTACATCCTGAACGTGGCGGAATAATGGGTAAGAGTACTTCCGTAGTTCTCAAAGTTCCTGGATAGACTTATCGTATAACCTATCCAAGACCCTATTCTCATGATTTAAGACCCCTAGATTGATTAGTAATATGATCCCTTCACATGCGTTGGTATACCCCAAAGACCCGGAGTCGAACTTACAATCAAGGCCCTCGAAATTGGCAGGGCTCTACCGTTCACGGGCTCGTTTCGTGGTTCAGCAGTTTGGGCGTAGGGGCGCTGGGTATAGGGTTTGCCAGCCACAGCGTGTGTGTATGGCAGGAGGACTGTATACGAGGCAGCGTGCAGGGAAGCTGCCCTAACCCTGAACTCCGAACCATGAAACCCTGTGTGTGTATATATATATATATAATATATATATATATATATATATATATGCCCTAAACCCCTGAATGCATCAAGCATGTTCAAAGCTTGTCGTGATGTTTAGGATTCAGAGTTGGCAGCATTGTTGAGCCGTTTGTTTAGAGCGCAAACTTGGCAAAATTTAGTATTATAGCAGACCCCACAGCGCTAAAACATGAACCCTTCAACCCTGTACGAATAATAGACTCTAAAGCTTTTAACCCTTGACTCTTGAACGCCTGTTTGTCTTCTTCGTCTTAATTCGAGCAGTTCGCCCGACTGTTGCCGAGGTCTTGCTGAGAAACAGAGTGCTCAACGCCGCTGTGTCACCCCGATGCATTCAGAGATTTAGCACTTGCAAATTCATGTACTAGAGTATACTATATTTCTTATCACACTATATTCTACGATATTATGGCCATATTATGCTACACTATACAATGGTATACCATAATATGCCATATTCTACAACAGGAAACTCTGTCATAGGTCTTCAGCGGGTTAGAGGCCAAGTGTTCCAGTGCATACTCCAGATACTCCGGATCCGATGGTCCAATGCTCTTCGTAGTTGGGCTCCTTTTAATTACCCTAAGCGTCCATGTACCCAAATAGTAGATACCTTGGCCCTAAAGTACCTAAATAGGGACTGCTTTAAGGTCAAAGTATATACGATCTGGGTACATGAACCGTTAGGGTTATTGAATTTAGTTGAAGTTACCACTACAACGAAGCCAGGTTATTTACTCTAGTCCCCGATTATGCTAACTTAAGATGACAGCCAAGAAGCCAATTTTTGTTGGTGTGTTTCCTGTTTGGTTTCCGGCTTTCCGGGCTCAAGTTGTCCACGGATGACTTCGGGACATGTCAATCGGACAATCGTTATCTGCAGGCCAATCAAGGTTTCAATGCCTACCTTGCGCCGCCTAGCCCAAGTAGAGTATACCAAGAAACACCTACTCCAACTCTGTATGCTGAACCAGGATTTTAGCAACACAGGTTCTTCGTTGGAATTCGTCGTGTTTGTTAGGTTGTGTAAGATTCTGAATTTCGTGCGCTAGGCCAGCACTGCATCTCAGGAGAATAGGTGCCCAAGGAGGGACTGGGTCCTGGACACTACAATCGAAATCAACACCAATGTCGAGCCTAACCAAGAAAGGCCTATCAGGGAATCACATGCCGGCGAGTTCTTTGTCTTGAGCAATCCGTAGAGCAGCCCGCAAACGCAAGGTACGAGTGCATGGATGCCATCGGTGACATCATGATCACTGGCTCCGACAAACGCACTGCGTCATCCCGGCACGCTTCTTTGCTGGAGTTTCAGGGTTTGGGCTTTGAGTGGTTCTCGCGGCCGGCTGGGGGAGTACCTGGACCCGAAAAGTATTTAGAATAATAACCCTTATAGGGTGTTGGGCCATTATTTAACTTACTTTTGGGGGTTTTAGGTAGGGCTGTAAGGTAGGTCGACGTTCATGACTGAGCTCTGCTTGCTTTCGGGGATTGAAAAGACCGTGGGGACTGAAGCCCCGACTGGGGCACCACTGGGAATTGGACTTAGGGTGCCTTTGGGACGAAAGCTTGTCAGGATTCATGGTTGCTTTACTTACCTTTGATGAGTAGGGAATGGAGGAATGGGGTACAATTATAACTACTACTACCACCATTCTTCCATTCCCTACTAACCAAAGGTAAGCATCTCGGTGTCCTCTGCTCTGCCTGAAGTGTTCTTGCGGCACGTAAGCCCGGTGCGCGACCGCTCCCAGACACCCATCTCCGTTAGCTTAAAGGCCTGAAGGACATCAACCTAAACCCCCCCAAATAGTTTATTCCGGATCACCAAAACTCATCCCAAATACGACTCTCGCAAACGCACACCGCCATGGCGCACTCTTCTGTTTAAATAATCGCCCAAAGCCCTATAAGAGCTATTATTCTACATACTTCTGATTCCAGGTAATCATGAACTCAGGGGCTCCAGGGTTTTGGAGTTTGTGAGGGGCTTTCAGTTGAAATCCATGCGAGACCCTGGCCCTCTCCTGCCGCACCACCTCAACCCCTGAACCGCACCTCTTCCGGGAAGACAAGACACGCGTGAAACCATCCCTAAACCCCGAAGCCCCCAAACTCCTAAGACGCCAAGCGCCGAGAGAGTGATTGTCTAACCGAACCTGGAATCGCGAACATCGCCAGGCAGCAATGTGCCCAGATCTTTGTCGACTTTATGCTGGACTATCCGCACGAGCACAAGGCAACGCAAATCGGAGGAAAAAGGCTTGTAGAGCTCCAGGCTTTTGTTAGGGTGTAGAGTTTGGAAGCTATTTTGGCTCCTCGGTTGCTTGCGCACAAGGTTTCTGTGGATGTGTTGGTTGAGAGTGTCACATTTGTAGACTTCCAGGGGCACTGCTTCCCACCTGCATACTCGATCCCATGCACAAATTGAAGGAGTCCTAGCGGCCTAGGACTTTGGGATTCATTGGGGTCGGGCTTCGGGCATACTGGAGGTGAGGCTTTCTGAGCCTTCCAAGGGCCGGCGTTCGCTCTTTCCGGCATTCCCACAAAGCGGCATGGCACAGTTGCGAAGTAGGTAACCTTTCGCCAAAATGAGTCTTTAAAGCTCTATGTTGCCCCTATGCCGGAATTGTAGTCTCGGGCCCCCTCAGCTGTGTCTGTACTTCTTTTAAGTGTTTCTGATATTTCTGGGGGCCTCATTCATAAGAGCAAGGCTTTGGTGTAGATTATCCTATACTTATACGGGTACTACAGGGAACAGCAGAACTCAGACCCCTTACATTGTGACTTCTATGTATATAGGCTCCAAACCCTACCCAGCCCCCACCCCTTCACTGAACAATCATTACATCTGGATTCCTCTTGTCATAAATCAGGAGTCTAACATAAGCCGTAAGCTCGAGACAACACACCCCCACATACTAAGCCTGTACACTAGGCAGGAACGAGGCCCTATAAACCTTAAACTTAAACCAAAAAACCTTAAGCCCAAAGTCCTGAATCCTAAATGCCACCCTCTAAACCCGACCGTCCTAAACCCTATAACTCCCTAAATCCCAAAGGTGTGACTCCGTTTGACTGCAGAGAGGCAATGCAGCTCCGCATCACACACCTGCTCAAGAACTTGGGCTATGCGGAGGAGGCTCGGAACCCTAACCTAGTAGTAGAGTAGGTAACCTTTAACCTTTTTTGGGGTAGCATATAGTCCCTACAATATAATCCCTACATAACCAAAAAAGGTAACCTTTAGTTCCCCGTGATAACCCGACAAGCAGGCTAAACACCGGAGGTTTTCAGGGTCTGCGGCTTTTAGGTGAATTTTGTTGGAGGGCTTAGGGCTTTCTGCTTTAGGGCTTAGGGCCTTTGGAGCATAGAACTTTCCCCGGCCGGGGCATCAAAATAGCCCAAAAGCCCCATATAGTATGGTCTTTGGGCCCAAAATCCTTAATATGTGAGTCCCGAGATCCCCAGGGTTCGAGTTTAGGATACGGGTTCAAGCTCTGTCCGCTCGTGGTCCCCTATGGCAGACCGAAGCCTGACTGAACTCGAAGCTAAACCCCAGAACACTAAACCCCTGAACCCCGGAGGTCGTGAAACCTCAACACCCGAAACAGGCCGTAAACCCGCAAAACATGAGGACCCCCAAAATTCGTTCAATTTGGGTCTCCATGGGGCTGCAAACCGTACCTGCGCCCCGATCTCTAAACCCCAAACCCCAACTTGTGAACACTTAGAGTTAATTGAAAAGAAACACCCTAGCCCCAAACTTCCTAAACCGTCCCAATCCTAGACCCACGCCCGAAACGCCTAACTAAACCTTTATACCCTAAACCATTACATCCTAAACCCAACTTCTCAGGGTGGCCGCCGGGCTGCTTTGAACTGCCTCTATCTCGTGGTTCTCCATTTCCCTGAGGCGAGGACTTAGCGTTCAGGGTTCAGGGCGGTAAAAGTAGGCCCCTGAAAGTAGGGTTTTAGGGTTTTAGGGTTTAGGGTGTAGGGTTTAGGGTTTTAGGGTTTAGGGTTTAGGGTTTAGGGTGTAGGGTTTAGGGTTTAGGGTGTAGGGTTTAGGGTTTAGGGTTTAGGGTTCCCGGTCCCATACATTGGAGGTTTAGGTTGCTTGTATGGCTCGCAGAAAGGAAGCAGCAGGGACATTGACGCTCACCCAGCCACGAGTCGACCCTGAAATGAGATGGGAGTTGCAGAAAAGAGATCCCCTAATACAACTCTAAACAGGAGGATGCTTCTTATGGAGACTTGCGAAAGGCACCCTCTGGAAACCCTAAACCCGATAGTCCGCTTCATCCCCCAAGGGGTGGCGAAAGCTTCGCATGGGATCCCGAAGTAGACCTGAACTCCAAAGAAGCTATAGTGAATCCCAGAAAGTTGGAACATCGATTTAGGGTGATTTGTGCTAGATTTCCTTTTTAATTTAGTCTAGGGGCACTAGGATCTCATGTTCCAACTTTCCGTAGTTTACTGTAGAGCCCAAGGCAAGGTAAAGGGCCCAGAGCCGAACCAAACGAACCCGAAGACTTGAATCCTAAAGCTCCGAATGTAGGAACCTGATCTAGAAACCCCGGGCCTATACCCCCCAAATAGTAGGATTCATATAAGGAACCCTAATAAAGGCCCAAGTTTTCTTAATCAGGTTCCTACATTATAGTGTTGGGGATTTTGGCCCAAGTTAGGGTTTGGGATTAGGGATATGGGTTCGGTGGTTTGGGCTAGAAGCTGGCACGGAGGCCGCAAGATTCTGAGGGCTGGGGTCTGTTTTCAGGGTTTGGGGTTTATAGGCCATGGGGACCTGTTAGTTCAGGAATGCAGGGAGTGAATATGCACCCAAGACTTTTCCATAGGGCTCCTTGTGATCCTTGTACTATAAAGGCCCCCAATCCTGCTCGAATTGGTTTCAAGCCCTAAACTACACAAATCCGGAGCGTCATTCTTCCATGGGTTCCGCCATCTATCTGAGAGTTTTACGATGCCATGCATCAGCGATCAGATCCAACTGGCGGAAGGATGTATTCTGTTTTCTAAACTCCTGAACCCCTCGCTTGAATCCAACCCCCGGTTTAGGTGCAGGGCTTGGGGTTTACCGAGAATCGAAACTTCGCCCTCCGCTGGGAGAGGTGGAGCTGTCGACGAAATGGGGCAGTTTGATCTTTGCTGCAACAGCAGCACGCCTTCCACAGGACTCATGCTTTAAGCCTAATCTACAGTAGTGGTAGGAATAATCGTGTCCCTTTAATTTGTCTTCTTACAAGTATTCTAAAAATGTCTTCTAGTTGTTCGGGTTTTCGAGGAAGCTCGGGATTGCAGGCAACCGGCTCTCGGCTTGAAGTCTTCAAGGTTTTGAGGAGTTCGAAATTCCGCGCACCTAAACAGTCTAACTCTCATACGCGCAAGCCTGCGCGCACACACACGCACAGAGAGAGAGAGACACCGGCGCACACACAAACAAACAAGCACACACACACGCACACACACACACGCACGCACACACAAAAACAGAGAACCAAACCTGTGAATGTTTGTGTTCATATAAACACATCTATATGTACATAGTTACATACCGTATGCAAACATGTAGACGCATGTATGCAATGCATGCACGTGCCTGTGTATTCATGCATGGGTGGACGGATGGACTGACGGACTGATGACTCTTTGCGGCAGCGGTAATTTACTCCTCAGCATGTGGAGTTGCCATGGAACACCTCAACAGAGTTCCCACCATTTTTTGAAAGTTCAATAGACGGGCATCTACGCCAGTTCTGGGCATTTTATGTTGATGTTGAGGGTCAAGCCCTGAGCGTCCCCGCGCGAGGAAAGTGATCCGACAGCCCACCAGATGCTTCATGTGCCCAGCACGGAGCGGATGTTTTGCTTGCTCTTTGGGGGCCAAGAGAAAGCTTCAAGAATCACTACGCCCTAGAATCCCAAAAGAATTCCTAGACCCTAGAATCCCTAAGCCCTAAACCCTATAGAACCCCTAAACCCTAAATCCTTAGAAGAGCCCATATATGAGAAGGTGCTTATCCGCACGTTGCTGGGCCGGCTCAACCCTTCGAGCCGCGATCGGTCTATCGGCTCAGCTGCAGCTCCTTCGTTGCTGCGTGGGCTTGGGGCTTTATGGTTTTGGAATGTTTCAGGGTTTAGGGTGGGCTTGGGGCTTTACGGTTTTGGAATGTTTCAGGGCTTAGGGTTTGAAGTTTAGGATTCAGGGTTTTCGGGTTTCGGGGTTTCGGGTTTGTAGAGTTGATTGAATGCAGGCAAACAAACAAACAAAGAAGTTGTACCATATGTGCATATTTTCTCAAGCTTATGTACATACATGTTTATTCTCATATGTACACGTTTCAATGTTAGGGGTCTTTGGGCCTGACAGTTTAGGCCTCAGGGGCTTAGGCTTCAGTGCTTGACAGGCTCTCTTGGAGTTGGTTTTTAGCTGTAGAAGCTTAGGCGTAGCATCCTCGAACCATCTTGCAGCGTTTGGGGTGCGGGGATGAAAGGTTTACATTGGGGTTTAGGGTTTAGTGGTGCGGGTTTCAAGTTTAGGCTTTTTTCGGGGCTCAGGGTTTAGGGTCTTCAGCCCCAACACTTTGCCGATGCATTCAAGGGAACGCCCTTGATAGCGGATGCAGGGAGACGCGAACGCATCGGAACATCTGTGCCCTAAACCCTAAACCGCATGATGGTTTAGGGTCTGTGGAGCAATAGTCACGTCCAAACCTGAATCCTCGGCCGCGAAGCCAAGCCCACGAGGCCTGCGAACAGAAACATCTGGCCATACATCCTTAAACCTGGCTCCTCATGGAACCTAGTAGTAGAGTAGGTAACCTTTAACTTTTTTCGGTTAGTATAGTCCCTATATACTCCCGATATAACCAAAAAGGTCAACCTTCAGTTGCCCCTGATACACGACAAGTAGGTGAAAGAGTCACCGGGTTGAACACACACTCGAGCGGAGCACAGAAACGATGCCGTTTTAACACGAAGTTATGGCTGCCGACTAGTTTCGCCTACCCAGAGGCTCATCGGGGCACTTTGTGCCAAAACTGCATCAAACCGTGGCACATGCACATGCTGAAACACATGCAAGTGCCGAACACTTCGTTGCATGTTTTTGGACGTTAAAAAACAGGAGGCTGAGGCCTTGCCAGATGTGGCCCCTTGCAACTAGGGAAAGTCCGCGGAGGCTGACGCTGATGATGCGTGTCGTAGCCTCTGCCAATTTCGACAACCGTGCGTAGGCAGCTGATGCTGATGATGCATGTCGCTGCCCTTTGCGACTATAGTGACTGTAGAAACACCGAGCCAGCTGATGCTGAAGATGCTTGCCTGGGCCTCGCAGGTCAAGGGCAGCTCATCCTCATGATGCATGCCGCGTGACGCCTCACACTGAAAAGTCGAACGCCGCTGATGCTGATGATAGGTGCCGTGGCTTTTGCAGAGACGACTGGCTGATGCATGCTGATGCCTGCCAGAGTAGGAAGTGGTAGGCAGCTGATGCGGATGCTGCCCGCCGTCGCCCCCTGCCAATACAACCAGTCGGAGGCAGCTGATCCTGATGATGCATGTGGGCGCTGTTGCCCCGCGAAACAACCTGGGCAGCTGATGCTGATGACGGGTGCCTCGAGCCCACTTCATGTAGGCAGGTCAAAAGCAGCCGGTGCTCATGACTTACCTTTGGTTAGTAGGGAATGGTAGAATGGTAGTAATGCAATAGTAGTACCCCATTCCTCCATTCCCTACTAACCAAAGGTAAGATGATGCATGCCCCGGGGGCTCTGACACTCAAGAGTCGGCGATGGGTGCCCCGCATCTGATGCTGATGGTGTGCGCCGTTGAAGCAGGCATGCGAGAAAAACGAGCTGGCTGGCTCCCATGATGCATTCTTTCACTTGTGTGCGACTGTCGAAAATCATTGTTTGCTGATTGGGAAAACTCTACAGCTGATCGGATCGTTACGTCATTTCTAAACATGGAGGCATCCAATGCTTTCGTTAAGTGCGTAGTTGCGTATATTGCTTAGGGGCATACGGGTAATAACCCGCAGCCCCCATAACCATTTGTTGCGCACTGAAGGCTGCTGGATTTGGCACTCAAGTGGCGAGCACATCCTTCTCTGCTGGCAGACTCTTGGTCAATCTGAGCTGCGGTGCTGAAGATGGTTGCAGCATCCTAGGAGTAGAGTAGGTAACCTTCAACTTTTTCTGGGTAGTACAGGCCCTATGATTTGTATGTGTGTGTATATATATATATAGATGTATATTCTGCGCTCGACAGAGAATATATACATATATAATACCAAAAAAGTTAACCTTTAGTTCCCCATGATATCCGACAAGTAGGGCATTCTTAGCAAATCTGAGAGCCGGGCCGGACTAAAACTAGACAGACAGGAAAACCAACAAAGGTTCCCGGTCTAGTTGCCTAGAGCTTCTGCACGGCCCCCACGCGCTCTGAAAGCAGAAATCGTTACAAAAAGTCGAGGAATGCTTGGGGCTTTTCGTGGAGGCTCGCTGGGCAGGGGTGGTAGGTAGGAGGGGTGAGCCTTGGGTCAGAAAGACGCCGGCCAGTTCGTTTCTTTCTGAATATGTAATGTAATAGTGCGTTCTTCTAATCCATCCCTCCGCAGGTATTTTTGCAAGCTACACTACCCAGGCAGACTCCTGCATAAAAGTAATATGGGTTTCGGATTGCTGTGCTCGACTACAGCCGCCAGCGCCGCTCAGTCTATGAGCACTTGAACGCCGAGCCAGTACCGGCTTTCCTTTTGACCCGCACGTCGGCCTCGCCGTGCCCGATGTGGCAGCTGAAGCAGTCGTTCACAGGTTTTTTGCAAGCAGCCGCGCATGCGGCCCCGAACATTGACTGCGCCGAGACTGTGGACGAATTCCCGGAGTACGTACATGATGCGTCTGGAGACGGGTAGCGGCACGGGTCGACAAGGTACCCAGGAGGTTCCGTGGTGCAAAGTGCTCTATTCGGATGCTGGGGCCGTAGGTGCACAGCAAGCCCCACAGTTGCTGCTCCAGTATCTCCTCATTGGGAAGGGGGGTGTCCTTCGTCAGGGGTCGACATTAGTTCAGATTACTATAGGTTGATTTTACCCAACATCCCTGTGACCCTAGGCCTTGTATGCCTTGCAACCCAAAAGTCTGAACCGCAAACCCTTTCATCTGTAACTCTAAACCCTGCATTCCAAGATTACCCCTATAGCCCTAAACACGATAAACTCTAAACTCTGTATTCCTATATTGCCCCATAGCCCTAAACACGATGACGATAACCATGTACCCTTAGCCCTGCGGGTACTTAGAAACATTTTCAATTTTTTGTTCTTATAATCCCTAAGAAACAGCTAATATTGCAAGTTTTGCAAGGGTTCTAAACCCTAAACCCTAAACCCTTAAACCCTAAACCCTAAACCCCGAGCCGATACCTCGGTCCTTCGACCTCATCCTTTGGACTTGTAGAGGTTTAGGACCCGCGTTTGATGATATGCGTTTAGGCTTCAGATGCATAGTAGAGATTCATGATTCATGGGGGTTTAGGCTTCAAGATTGAGTGTTTTTCTTGGTATCCATAAGGCTCGCCTAGGATTCGGGGAGGGGTCTTCGATGCCCGGAAAAGGCCCTTTAGTAAAGCCTGAACCCTCCCCAAACTCATAAGGCATGCTGTAACGTTTGCCTAAAATCGGAAACGCTTCCTGAACGCCAAAGCCCCAAACGCCCAGACTCTAAATCTAAGCATTCGTGCTTAGAAGAGGCTATAAAAACTCTATTAAACGCAGTGAGGCCTTTTTCGGGAAGCTTGAAACAGCCCCTGCAGAACCCTATAACGCCCTGTCAGAACGGGTCTGTCTAGTACCCAAACAAGAACCTTTCCCAAACCCCATAAGACCGGGACCGTTCGAGAACCCAAAAAGATCCCCCCCTAACTAGAACCTTCTAAGGATCCGTTACAAAGGCCGACAGAACCCTACTTGGAGGCTCATGGGTAGTTATAAGTAGAGGTATAAGTACCCCTAATGTGGGTTATAATTACAGCTACCCTACTTATAACCCCACTTACAACCACCCATGGACCTCCAAGTAGGTTGTAGAGCCTGGGATAGGCGGGGTCCGGCCTCACCGAGTCCGCACAGGACGTCCCGGAATCCAATCTGGAAGCTATGATTAGCTTAGTAGGCTCGTAAAGGAGGATTGTTATAAGGGGCTTGGGGAGTTTATGATGACTGTCGGAGTTCATAGTAATTAAGAGGAGTTTTGGCGGCTGAGGTTTCGGTTTGGAGGCTCAACTCACGAGCATGGTTTTATGTGGCGTTGCAGTTATGGGTTCGAGTTGAGCTTGTTTTTGACTTGCGTTTCGGACTACTTTTGCCGCTATGAGTACTTTTGCTGTTGCTGCTGCTCCGCTACGACTACTACTGCTGCTAACGATCCGGGACCGAGTTTGATCGACAAGCCGGCTATGTAGAGCGTGGACCAGAGTTGGTCGGTTAAGGGTTTTGGATTGGGGCTCACGTCAAGAGGACACTGGAGAACTAGAGACTTGACAGTCCTTCAGTTCAAAAAGAGACAACGACAATCATAACCTGGACCCCAAAAGTATGTAGAATAATGGCCCTTATAGGGCTTTGGGCCATTATTTAACCTACTTTTGGGGGGTTAGGAATATCATAAGCAAAATTGTCAATAGATCGCTCGCTATGCTTGGAAAGCTACGCAGAGCTTAGCAAGTGAACTCTGGGAGCTTCGTAGGTTTGCGATTCAGCATAGCCGGGTGTAGGATAGTGTGGATCTTCATGGTTATATAGGTATATGCATATTATATTTACATATACATGTATATGTATATTTGTATATATATATGCGTATTTGTATACACGAGTATAGTTTGCGTCTGCATATCCCAAGTTTCAGACTTCGCTGTTGTCTCATACGTGTCCATCTAGGAATCTAGGCAAAATAGTTGACTCTCAAAGTCAGAAGCATTGTAACAGCTTTGTGTATAGTAGAACATGAACCTATAGCCCAAAACTTACCCTCCCTGGTTCGAAACATGGCCCTGCCAATCCAACCCTTCACAGGCTAAAGCGCTCATAAACGCCTCTGGAAAGAAGGAGCCCCTCTTGACTGCAGCTTTGCCGGCCCTGGGCGAGGTGCAATGCCATCCAGGGGGCGACGATGTAGGGTTCATGGTTTAGCGTTCAGGCTGTTGGGTGTGTTTGAGCTGGGGGCTATGAGAATGTGTAGAGTTTAGGGCTGAGGCGGCGTGAGGGCCCCGGCAAGCATACCAAGGCATCTGCAAGGTCTCCGTAGTTGCATTAGTCGCGCAGGGAAGAACCACCAAAAACGAGGCACCATGGTAATTGCAGGGTTCAGGGTTATGAGAAGGTGTAAGGTTTCGGGCTTCTGGGGTCACATTGGACTTGAAGCTTCATGCTCCATGTCTCTGTGACTTCATGACATGCAATATCCGCCCTGTGTTGGTCTGATATGGTCTGTCGCTTCTGCTTGGGGCTTCGAACTCGCTGGCGCGTTCTGTTCGGAGAGGCCCCTGCCAGATGTAGGATGGAGTGGATGTTGTAAAGTCCGAGCACACCGCACCACGCCTTGGGCGTTTTGCCCTTAGGCCGAGCAAGCAACATGCAAGGCTCTTTGTGCTCAGGCTATTCTAGACAAGTTCTCCCGATGGGTTTATACATTATACAAGTTTTGCAGGTGTACCTGAAGGATGCCTAGATGTCTACCTTGTCGTCGTACCAAATTTGTTCATGGAGACACGCCAGGAGTTTGGCACACATCCGTCCGGTTTAGATGTTGTTCACCTTGACTGCTTGGCGAGTGACTGTGCAGCAGTGAGCTTCGGACATCAGCAAACTCATTTTTGGGAAGGCCACCAGTGCGCAACGTCCCCAAAATACCACCGTGACCTCGGAGCCTCCAGACTTTCGCACATCCTGGGCCAAATGGCAGAACCCCGAAACCTGAAACCACAATCCCAGAGCTCTACAACTGAGCATCGGCGCAAGGTGCTCAAGAAAGCCGAGGCGCGGGCCCGGGAAGGGGGGGACCTGCATTCTGAGGCTGGAATTTCTTGTCGGGGTTCGGTGTTCTATTCTTTGTCACAGTTGGGTAACATTTTACATGTTTACGGGTACTTGTTCCCAATAAGGAATAAAAATGTGCATTTTTAATCCTATCCCAACTTTGAACTAGTATTCAGCTGTTGCAAATCTTCTGTATGGCCAGCATCTGGCATGAACCCATATCACAGAGGCCAGGCCGTCCCTCGTTTTCTTGTTCCTTATCGTCGGTCGTCGCATTGGAGCTGCGGAACGTCCCCAACTACCGGTTAGATCTACCTCAAAATCCAACCCTAAACCCTAAACTTTAAAACCCTAAACCCTAAACTTTAAAACCCTAAACCCTAAACCCTAAACCCTAACCCTAAAAACCCTAAACTTCCTAAACCCAGAGTCGGCTTCGGGCTTCGGGGGCTTTAAATTTGGGGCTCTAAGCCTGAGCGGTTGTGATGTTGCCGGAGGCCAGTGGCGAGGATCCGAATGGTGGAAGCCAGACGACGAGACCTCGGCATGTTCTGGGTTATTAGGGTTTAGGGTTTTAGGATTTTAGGGTTTAGGGTTTTAAGGTTTTAAGGTTTTAGGGTTTTAGGGTTTAGGGTTTAGGGTTATGAGGACGGCTTTCAGGGTTATTTCGGGGTTCTACAAGAGCTCCACAAGGGCTCTGCTGAGGGTTCGATGGGGGATTTAGTAGGATTTCAGGCTCAGGGTTCTCAGGGATGCAGCTGGAGGGTTTAGGGTTTAGGGTTTAGGGTTTAGGGGTCTCCGTGCTGCAGGGAGTGGGTGAGGCTGCGAGATGAGGGTTTGGAGGGTCGGAGTGGGTGTTTTGGGCTTCACGGCCACAACCCCTGAACGCCAATCAAACTTCCCGAGAAATTTAAATTAAAAATCCCATGAACCCCAATCCCTCGATCAAACAGTTCTCAAATCCTGAAGGCCCCGACCAAAACCTTCTCACCCTCAGGCGCCACAGGAGCACATGTGGCTTCTAGTTTGTGATGGGTCAAGAGATGGAAGCCTGGTGTAGAAGCCAATACTTACCCATATTACTTCTTAGGCCATGGTTATACCCCAGAACCCATTTTCCAAAAACCCCTTCTACATGATACCCCAAAACCCATTCTTCTTCTTAATCTTACTATTCTTCCATGTTCTTCTTATTGCTAGTATTAGTATCAGTACTCCGATTATCAAGCCCCTACTTGGAGGGTCGGGGGACTTAGTAAGTAGGTAGTAAGTAGACTTATAAGTACCCTAAAAGGGATCCTTTTTGGGGTTATGGTACTTATAAGTCCCTAGGCCATGGCAAGTCCCCTATGCGGTCGCGAAGAGCCGGCGCCTCAAGCCTTGCGTCTTGCGACTCATCTGGGAGTTTCCGAGAAGGATTCCTTTAAAGGGTGACTATAAGGGTACTATAAGGGTTCCTTTTAAAGGGATCTATGAGGGTTTAGAGTTTCCGAAAATTCAGTTTAACTCATTTTGGGGCTCCTTACAAAGAAGGATCCCTACTTTAGGGTACTATACTAGGGTCCCCCATTCTCGGAAACTCCCATGTTGTCTTGGGAAGCTTCTGCGTCTAGCGGTTATCGTTATTTCATCATGAGTATTACACGTGATAGCAGAGATGAATGTGTTTTTGGTCCCTTTCGATGGTTAGGGTGGGTTGAGGATCCAGGATCCCCCCTCAGAAGTTCAGGAACACCCTTGTTGGTAGGGGGTTGAAGGTCTTCCTTCTTAGGGTAAAAGGAGGGACCCTTAATAAGGACCCCTAGGTATATACCCTTAATATAGCCATTATATACCCATTCTAGAGCTCATTATAGGGTAGGGGTCCCCATTAAGGGTCCCTCCTTTCCCCCTTTGAATCCTGTTTAAACCCTTACTACCTCGAAGCTTTGAGTCGGCCTAAGCAGCTTCCTTGTACCCGGACTGCGGGTGCATATTATAGGGTCCTGAATAGTTAATAGAGGGGCCTTAATCGTCAGAACGGGGTTTTGGTATAAATATAATAAGGAACCCACGAAATAGTATGGGTACTTATCGGGCCCCTATGTTACATGCCTACCCGTACCTGCAGCCGCGCATGGGCCAGGAGCTAGCATACGCCGCAGCGGAGATTTAAGATAAGAGTGTAAACCCTCGGGCTCCAGGTACCTAAGAAGTAGGTTACGGCGAGTGTAGCCCATAGCATGTAGCCCAGTCGCCCAATTTAGGTCAGGCTTTCAGCCCTATAGGGGCTGGTGATCAAACTGGCGACTACAGACAAGCATTGATCATCCTAGCCATACTAGCAATAATTAGCAAGACGTAGCACAGTACAGTTTTCGACTTTTATATTAGACTGTGATAAACTATACTATAATGGCAAGGGGCCCAGGTGCACTAGCCTCGGGCAGTGCTGGCCGTCGGGATCAGCAAAGATGGCAGCAATAGCCGCAACCGTGGTAATTATACTGTAGGGGCCGTAATAATTCCTATATTTACTATTTTGGGGGTTCATTATTACAACTCTAGTATAACGGGCCCCAAAACCCTATTCTACTTATTAAGGCCCCTATAGTCGAGATCATGATTGCGGTGTCAATAACACCTGTGCAAACGCTCGTCATAGCAATGCACTTTTCACCAAAGCAGGGACACATGAACGGTAGCAGTAGAATCCCGACAGGACTACCTACTTCAAACCCTAAACCCCGAAACCTCAAACCCCAAACCCTAAACCCTAAGCCCTTATAAACCTTTGCCTTTCGGAAAGCAGCTTTAGAGACCCCATCCCTTTTTCATGCCGGCTCTCCATGTTGAACGAGGCTTCTGTGGCAAAGTCGGCAGAAGGAGACCCGACCTCGCCCGGCTACCTCTGGGGTTCCTAAGCGTCAAACCGCAAAACATAGCTCTGTAATATAGGGGCCTTAATAAGTAGAATAGGGTTTTGGGGGGTTCCTTCGTATAATTATGGTACAAATATACTCCCAAACCCTAGTCTAATTATTATAAGGCCCCATACATTATGTGGAACCCTGCAGCCCTGCAAGTCCTAAAGCCCTACTTTGCACGGCTCCAAAGCCTTGTGCGGAGGCCTTGAACGTGTTCTTGGCTCGGCACCGCAGGCTTTGCACCTTGGCTGAGAGGGTTCAGGGTTGGAGGTGTAAACGTCACGCACTCGAGGGTTGATCAAGGTGTTCACGGGTTCGGGGCATAGGTACCCGCTGCATAGTAGGTCTAGGCCCAATGTGGACCAGGGTCCTAAACCGCCACATGCACTTTTGACCTCACTATGACGAAACCCCAAACACACCCAAACCCCACACTTGCCGCCCACCCTTTGACAGATTTCGAGCTTGGGATTGCCTCTAACGAATCCAGCGTGCATGCCCGCTTTGAGACCAAAGCCAAAGCTTCTTAGGGACCCTCAACCCTAAACAAAGTCGTTAGCTCAAAAATGTAAAACCGAGGGTCCACGCACTTGTAATAGACAAACCAACCCCGCAAATCAAAGCTTACCTTCAAAGCTACTGTCCCAGACCCCCACGAACCAGATTCTGCACCGCAGGCTGTTGGGTTTCTGGTTTGGGAGCCCCGGTGGCGGGGACGACATAGACCTGAAAGCCCAATCTGTGGACCCTTCGATGTAGCACTCTGATTGGTAAACAAAGTTTCCCTCAGTAAGAAATTCCCATGGGGATCCGAATAGTAAGGCCCTTGGAAGATGGGCTTATGAGATCTATCGAGGCCTTGCACCTAGCCTCATAAAACCCTGAAAACTTTCCGGGTTTTGTAACCCTTATAGCAACCCTTACAGAACCCTTCATGGTTTCTTTGTTTGGTAACCATTAGACTAGAATCACCTTTCGAAACCCCTAAACCCTAACCGCCTGAACTCGCCTTTTTCCCTCCTTTGAGCAAACCTCTCAGGCTCGGACGCCTCCTCGAGCGCAGCCTCGCGGAGGTTTGAGGGGCTTGAGATGACGTAGACACACATGTGCGGGTTTTTACTTGGCGGTCGCATCTTTCTGTATGTGTATTGTAGCCAATAATCTGGCCCCCCACTTTCAGTTGGTAGCCGACTGCGGCAGACGGAAAAGTCGCACCAACCTTCAGAAAAAGCTTTTACCAGACTTTTAAATTTCAAGCTTTGAAAACCCTATAAACCCTAAACCCTTAGCCCCCCCCCAAAAACAAACTTTACCCAGCTTTAAACCTTAAAGACTAAGCCCAGCAGCCCACTGCCAGGGAGCCGCCGATGCCACGGCGTTCAGAGCTCAGAGTGCGCGATGTGTTCTTCAGGTTGACGGTTGGTAAGGTGCCAGGTCCAGGTCTGGGTGCTTTGTTGGTTTAGGGTTTAGGGTTTAGGGTTTAGGGTTTAGGGTCTAGTTCAGTCAGTTCGGGGGCTCAGGAATTCTTGAGCTGAGGTCTTCGTAGCTGTTGCTGAGGTTTGACAGCAAAGTTCGTTAGCTGCTGGGGGCTTGTACGAGTTACCAGAAGCTTCTGGCATCGATGGCGAATGGTGCTTGCCAGCTTGCCAACAGAACGAGCTCATGTGATGCAGGCTTGTCTTTGGGCAGCTTATACGAATTTGACAAGGTGTTGGTGAGAATCGCGGGGAGATTGTCATTCGATACATATTCATCGCCCTGCGCTTCCTTTCAAAGCCATGGCCTTCATGCCCAAGCCCCCGGAATCCTTACACGATGTATGATTTACTATAAGTTCCCACTCTTCAGGCTTCCACAGTAGCTGCAAGCCATCCGGCTTTTTCGGGTTTAGGGCTTCGGGGTTTGGTGTCAGGACTTGGGAGTTCAAAGCCCTAATCTCTAAACTCAAACCCTAAACCCTACATAAACTGAACCTTTAACCCTTACCCCCAAAACCCCTAAACCCAAACCCTAACCCTAGACTAAAGCCTATGGTGCCGAATGCTCCTATGGTCATGCTTGAGTTTCAACACCAGCCGATGCGAATCGCAAGCGGCGGACCACAGATACCGCGTCAGAACCCTGCGAATGGAGTACTAATCCGTCTAATGTCATTTGAATTAGTGTATCGTAATGTACTACAACGTAACCAACATAGAATATTATAGCAGGTAACAATATATGTTGTGTTGTTATTGTATTGTTATTGCAACCGTAGACTCCCGACCTGCGCAAGCTAGGGCAATGACAAGTGAAACCAGCCAATGTGGAAGCACAAAGTTATAGAGAATTTAGTATTAGAGTTCCTTGGACTTGTAGTAATACTACATCATAATATGTCCCAAAATCGCCACCCGAGTTGTTGGTTCCCTTATATAAGCACCCAGAAGCCCCGGAAACCCATCACGTCGCCACAAGCAACACAAAGGGGGCCCTGAAATCCCATACCTGGAGACCCTAAACCGTGAGTAATAACTTCTAGTCTGTCATATTTCTATTGTGTCTTACAAACTATAACACGAATCCTGAGTTCCACTACCATATTTCTAGTCCAGGTTCAAGCTTCTGTGGACGTTCCTGTTGGGCCCCGACGCCTTTGCCTCCGAACGTCATCCTTGGGCACGGCGCCAAGAACACAAGAGCATGCTGCGAAAAGGACAAGTATGATCCAGCAGTTGTCATGTTGTCGTTGCCCGCACAGCTAAAGTATGCGAATCTCCATCATCATATGAGCACGCCAACCCCCCATGGCTAACCGACAGGGATCACGCTTCCATGAGCATCATAGTCGTAGTCTAGATGATCAGCACAATCATCCCCTTTGCGTCCCACCCACCACCATCACCACACCTGTGCCTGATGGCGGCAGTTCTTAATGCTCTCGTTGCTTGTTCCAACCAACATTTTGAAGCTTGTTTCGATGTTTTGGACCTAGCTGGGACCTACATGGCCAAATTATCAGATGCCCCCCCTCCAAGAAAGAAAACGTCTGAGTGTCTTGCAGGGCTCGTCCTGCAAAAGTGATCCATGTGCAGCAACACCACTGAAAAACTGCCTTCCTACAGAACTGCTTCCTTGCTTGCGTAGAGACTTTGCGCACCAGGATCTTGTTCCGAAAAACGGGAAAGAGTAGAAGCAAATATAAACGGTTGGTGAACCCTAATCGGGTTCAGGCGTTTGATTCAGGAATCATTTCAGCAGGCAGGGTCGAGCTTTGGCAGCACATCCTTCATTAAGGTTTGGACCCTGGGTCGTCCTTGAACTCTCAAATCTAAACTCAGAAACGACGCGCTGTACTGCACCCCTATGCAAGCCTCAAACTTCTGAAGCCTGACACTTAAACCCTAAACCCTCCAACACCGTAAGTCTAAAGCAAGTAAAAAAACAAAAGCCTCAAAGCCTTAATTTAAATCTCCAAACCTTCTTGGTGAAATTTTGGTGGACAGGATAAGGACCAAAGCAAGGAAGCAATTGCCGAGGTAGTTGCGGTCACCCTACGATGCTTAGACTCGCAGACAGCAAAGCCGGGGACAAAGTTTCCATGTCTGGGGCTTTGTGTTTAGAACTGTTGGTCTTATTGGAGCTTGGGCTTTCAGGGCTGTTTAGAGTTTAGGGCTGTAGCTTTGTGTTTAAATGGTTGTTTAACTCAAGGTTTACGGTCTTGGACACTTAGCAAGCTAATTCATTCTGTTGGGTTCCTTTGTCGCATGTGAGAATGAACAAATACGTGAATACAGAGTCAATGTTATACAGGTATACACGCATGTGTGTGTGTGGGTATATTTATATATGTATACATCCATACAGACACATATACATATATATATATATATATATATATATTGACTTGTGTTTATGTGTGTTTCTCTTGTTTGGCCCCAAAGACGCAGTCCAAGTCTTCAGGCCTTTACAGTAGTCTCCAACGAATGTTCGGAGTTTAACAAGTGCTTGGAGTTTTCCGGAGCAAGCAGACACTTCACAGGAGGATCCTCGGCACGAAAAGCCCTAAGTTGCTTACCTTAGGGTTAGTTTAGGGTTTTGTGGTTTAGGGTCTAGGGTTTAGGGGTTTAGGATTTAGGGTTAAGCCAAGAGCCGTGGAAAGGTAGTCAAAACCCCTGACGAGGAGAATGGAATATGTGCAGAAGAAAGCACCCTGCTCTCGGTATCTAGGTCCCTAATCTGCAATTTTCGACCCAATGATGCATCCCGAACCACGGAGAGTCCACTACAGGGCTTGACAAATGGGCATCAGTATCCTCTCGGAGTTGCATGAAGCTATACTATAATGTACCCCAAACCCCATTCTCCCTGTCGACGTCCCTAGACCCTTGTTCGCAGAGAAACCTTGTAAATCCCCAACCTGAACTTAAGCCCTACTTTGCCCTAAACCCGTAATCCTAAGCCCGACTTAGCCTCTGTCTCTATTCTAAGTCTTACGGCCCCTCTTTTTCCAGGTGGCGCTCGGCTTCACTGCCCAGGACGTGGCTGTCTGGAGAGGCCCCCGAAATTCAACATGGTGTTCAGGGTAGAGGGTTTAGGGTTGAGGGACGGTTTAGGTAGACAGGTAGAGGGTAGGGAGCCACATGGGGGGTTTCCGAAAATAGGGGACCCTAGTATAGTACCTAAATAGTAGGATCCTTATATGTAAGGACCCCAAATAATGAACCCCTCATTTTCGGAAACTCCCACATGGCCAACGCGCTGGACCTCTTGCCTGACACCCCAAAGCACATTAATCCTTGTTCAGGTCACGGCACGAGGCCTTCTTCGTGCCCTCGAGGTGCGGGGCGGGCAATAGGATTTCTACGGGGTCTTGAGAATAAGGGTTTCTAGAATAAGGGTTCCTATAAGGCCTATCTGAGTTTTTTCTGGGGCCTCATAGGGGTTCGGGGTTGTGGATGAGCTTGTGGTACGAGGCTTTGGATCAGAGTTTAGGATTCAGGTTTATTGGAGATTTGTGCCGAAGATTTGGGGTCTTGTAGTTCAGCAGGAATCCGAAAGTTTAACCTTTTATTTCTGTGGCTTATGGGGGTAGTAAGTCAGGATGAAGCTGGAGAGCTTTGACATGGCGGCTTTGTCATCGTTGGGTAACATTTTAGATTTTTATGGGTACTTAAACCCAACAAGGAATGAATTTTTTGATTTTTAATCCTATCCCAACCGGGATGGGCGATGGGCTTTGTCGAGTTCTGCAAGGTGTTACGATGGGAAATAGTCGCTGAAGGGGTTCATGCGTTTCTGGAGTGCTTGAAATCCTTTCAGTCATTTGGGCTAAGAAGTTTGGGTCGACATTTTGGGGATTAAGATACCCCATGTCCGCAAGCTGATGCAGGGCAGGGAAGCCCAACTTGCAGATGGACAGCATAACCACCCTAAGCCCTAAACCCCAAACCCCTAAACCCTAACCTCAAACCTTTCTGGGGTATGCTGCACGTGAAGCGAAGTGCAAAGATCGACGGCTTATGCTGAAATTGAGACGCTCAAAAACGCCTACCCCTTGCTTGTTTTGCTGATTTCAAGGAAGCCAGAAGGGCCGCTTGTGTCTAAAAGCAGTGGAGCCACCCAAACCTGAACCCTACATAGTCCCAAATCCTTAAACTGGCAAACCGAAGACATGAAATCGGCCTGAGCGCAAACCACATGTAGACAACGAAACAGCACTACCCCCCCCCCCGCCCGAAAAAACTGTTTCAGCGCAACATGTCAATCAACCACGTCAGCAACTATGACCCATTATGACCCTTACAGATAGACTCCCAGCCCAGACCTCAACCGCTCAAGCCCCCAAGAGACGGAAGACCCCAAACCAACACCAGATTCCTGGACATCTAGACCCGTTACCAAACCCGATAAAAAGCCTGAACCCTTATTTCTAAACCGTAAGCCCTGGCAAGACTCCCTTGGGCTTCTCTTGGCCAAAGGCCTTATGTAAGCTCAGATGGTTGGGCAGACATAACAAGGAGCCCCTAACACCCTAAACCCTATAAACCCTAAACCTGAAAAAACCCTATAAACTATAAACCCTGTAAACCCTAAACCCTAAACCGTGGCAAGCCCTGCGATGGCCTGAGGCTTTGCTTCTCTCGGAACGTCTCGAGCACGAGGTGACCCTGGCGCCCCTGGCGGTGAAGGCGCTATAGTTGTTTCTCCAAAGAGCGGCGGGGGGGTCGGGGGGGCGGGTTTAGAGGCTTTTGGATTTTGGGGCTTTGGAACTGACAGGTTGCAAGGTCTAGTTCAGAATCGAATTCTGCTCACCTCCTTCCGATCACCGTTAAATTGAAGTTGCAAGTTTTGCCTAACAGCCAGTTAGGCAACAACAAGGACTGAAGATGCAGACAACCGATGTGCAGCTTTCAGCTGGAAGCTCTGCTCGAGGCAGCTCAGCGTCATTTTAAAGACTAGATCCAAAGGAACTGAAACCCTAACACCTTGAGCAAGAAATCCATCGGTCAACGTCGGAAACCAAGCCCTTCGATCCCAAATGCCTAAAGGAGGGGAGCTTAGGGCATCAAGCCTCAAAGGCCTGCGCTATGGTGGCCGGCATGTGTGTCATGAAGCCACGAAGCCATGCGAACCCCACACCCTAATCCTGAACCCGGACCTTGCGCATTGAAAGGAAACCCTGAAACCCACAAAACGGCTCCTTCAACTAACATAGAGGCCTTCATAGCTGGAACATGGTTTATGGGTGTGTTCTAGCATAGAACAGGGGCATAAATAATTACCAATATTCTTTTGGGGGTTCCGTATTATAGCTATGGTACAATAAACCCCCAAAGCCTATTCTAACGAAAAAAGGCCCCTGCACGCTAAATCCCTAATAGAGCCCCTATAGATCCGTTTTAAGGAATCCTTTTCCATGTATTAAGGCCCCTAAAGTAGATCAAACGCTGCTTAGCTGCTCCAGGCCTTTCGGGGCCTCGCCCTGCTGCTCCTTGAGGAGCCTTCCTTGGTGCCAGAGGCCTCTGTCTTGCTTGAGAAGGGCGGTAATATAGGGGCCTGAATAATTGCCAGTGCTATTGTGGGGGTTCCTTATTATGATCATAGTATAGCACACCCCAAAACCTTATTCAAATGATTAAGGCGCCTGTAGTGTAAGGTTTTGTAGGGTGCGACCAGGGCTCTGTTAGGGTTTGTAGTGTTTTTCGGGTCGTTAGAGTCGTTTACAGGCTTCGTTCAAAGGTTTTTGTGAAAGGTTCACAAGTTCAGCATTTAGGCTTGTTGTGCAAGCTAGGGGTTTAGGGGATTCGCTTCGCTTGTTTCGGGGTATGGGGTTGATGTTCAAGCTTCTGTTTAAAGGTTAGTGGGAATACAGGTTTCTGGTTTCTGGCTTCTCTCCTAAGGTTTGGGGGAATAGGGTTGAGGGTTATAGGTTTTAGTGCTTAGAGTCGGCACCAAGACAGACACAGACAAGTATCCCTGGATCTTATCGCAGATTCCTCCCCGTGGTGTGGGTCACCTGCATAGGGTCCTTAGAGTATGTGTGGATAGCTTTGGTGCTTCCGCGAGTCACTGCTCCATATGGGGCGGGGAATCCGGGACTGCATACTGATGTATTACAGTGGTCGGAACATTATTTTCAGGGGCTCCTTATCGTATTGGAAATATACGCTGATATAACACCATCGCCCCAGTCTCTACTAAGTGCTAAGGCCCCCCATACCCTCAAGCTGTTACTGAACATGAACCCGAATGGTACCCTTACGCGAACCGTTTCAAGGAAATTTTATTTTTTATAATCAGGGCCCCTAGAATTTCTCAGCAAACGACATTCCCCAGTGCGCATGTCGTCGTCGGGGCGATGCTGCTTCGGCTTGTTTCGGTGCTTTAGGGTTTAGGGGTTAAGGGTTTAGATAAGGGGGTCCTTCCAAACCCTCTTCACCAAGATTTCTTTGGAGCGCTCCTTCCGTGCCAATCGGTGGCTCGCCCCATATGGTAAGCTAGACCAACCCTATAGGATCGTACTGATGAAATAGCCCAAATCCTTTACGTCACTTAGGCCCCTAGGCTGGATAGAACCTTGTAGAGCCCTGTGCAGCCATGCAGTAGACAACGCCAGCTTAAATCTGTATTGTAAACTCCAAAAAGTTGGAAACCTAATTAAGGACAAATCGTGCTGGGATTCCCTATACTTTGCTCTTAGGGATTGAGGCTATCGGGTTTCCAACTTTTGGGCTTCTGCTGTATTTAGTTCGGCGCCTGGCCCTCCAAAGGCCAGCAAGGACGAGGAGAACGAGGCCGAGGATGTCGAGCAGGACGCAAGCCCTACCAGGGTAAAAGCCTATACCCTTAAACCCCTAAACCCTCAAACCCCTAAACCCCTAAACCCCTAAACCCTAAACACCTAAACCGTAAGGCCCTAAACACCTGAACCCTAAACCGACTGGGGCTCAGGCTTTTCTCGAAGTTTTGGGGGCTTCAGGGTTGTAGGGCTCATGGTTTGGGAAGTCGGGTCTTGAAGTTAAGAGCTTTTCAGGATGTGTGGCTGGTGTGGATTGCACGTTTTTGTTTCAACACCCGTTCATTTCAAACGTAGTTGGGTTGTGATTGTCTTCTACCAGAGCCTCCTCCGAAGCACAAAGCCAAAGCCCTAAAGCCACCGCCCCCCAAAGCGCCCTAAACTCCCTAAACCCCGCTTGCAGGAGGAGGAAGGCGAGGAGGAGAAGGGGGCCGAGGTCCCAACGGCCGAATTGCATGGCAAGGCGTGCACCCCGCGTGCGGTGGTGGGGGGTGGGGCTTTCTGATTCCGTACAAACCTAGACAAGACTTTTTAATGTATCAAATCTAGACACCTTCGCATAACCTATTTACGTGGTGCAAGCAGTGAAACACTGTGCACCCTGTCCATCAACAGTCGTTTTGAAGGGCTCGGAGAGTTTTTCGAGTGGCGTGTGGTTGGTTTGGGTTCAGGGCAAGAGGTTCTGGGATCAGCGTTTCTGTCTACGACTTGATTTTCGGCGCCCCAAACATGACGAAAGTCTTGCCCTCTCTACGCGGGCCCTTTCGGGGGCTCGGGTTCGCAGGTTCTTGTCATTCTTTAACCCCCGAACCCTGAACCGATGACCCATTTTGTGGAGGCCCAAGCAGATTGGGCTTCGGTTTGGAGGGAAGTGCAGTTCTCCAGTTCGGTTGAGGCCGAGGTCTTCTCTGAGGACTGGTGATGACGAAACGAGCAGCAGGAAGACGGTTCATAGAGGGGCCCTAAATAATTACCAATACTGTTTGGGGGGGTCCTTATTTTTGGGAAAGTATAACGGGCCCCAAGACCCTATTCTAGTCATTAAGGCCCCTATCTTAAGATATCGACGGGGATGATGACGATGAAGATTATATAAGGGTACTGTGACGATGGCGGTCTGGACAACGACGAGAACGACGAGGACGAAGATGGGGCGTGCTGATGATATCATGAAGATGATCCTTATGATGAGCAGCGAACCGTTTCGTTCGATACCATGTTAATTCTGCCCCCACGAGTTCTCCCAATGCGCACTCTTGGACTTCTTATGTCTCTGCAGCACCGCCACATACAGGTTGGAGTATCCGAACTACAATCTAATGACAGGGCCTTAACGATTACGACAGGATTTTGGGGCCCATATATACTAAATCATAGTAAGAGCCCCCCCCCCCAAATAAACATGACGTTGGCACTTATTTAGGCCCCTATAACCCCAAAACCCGGTTCAGGCTCCTATGTTATATGACACGAAGCTTTTGCAAACTCTTCTTTAGCTTGGTGATCACGGAATGAGAGCAAAGCTTTTCCTACAGGAGTTCTCAGGTGGCCGCAGAGGTCGGCTAGAGCTGATCGATGCAGCAGCCTGTATGAGAAGATGAATAGGATTTAGGGTTTAGGGTTTAGGGTTTAATGTCACCACGTGGAACTAGCTAGCATAGCATTTTTCGACTAAACAGAAACCCACTATTTTGCAAGGCTCGCGTCTAAAGCACTGTGTCTTCAGAGAAGCTTGGGCAGTGCAGGAAGAGGCCCAGGCGCCGGCTACTTTGCCTGAGGAGGCCATGCCGAAGTGCCGGGTTTCCGTGCTTTTGTGGCATTCGGTTCTTCTCGGTAGAGCAATATTTGTGATGTCATCGCAAGTCGTCCACATGACTTGTTGAGCCTTCAGCAACATCAGCAGCGATGGCAACAATCTTCGTTCTCCTAGCTGATTTCGAACCCATCGGCCGAAAAAGCAATACCTTCTACACTCCGTGGACAAAGCACCTCACCAGTGTGTATCCAGGCCACTCCCATGTCAATGGAGAAGGAGACTGCACCGCTCGATGAACCGCCGAAGGAGGAGAACCTCGAGGCACATCGCTAAACCCGAAAGCACGAATACCTTGCCCTGAACCGTAAATCCTGAAACTGGATATGATAGCAGCTGCCGCCAGGAATCCTTCATCTTTCGCATGGTTTTCATCCATAAATCTGAGAGACGCAGATCCCTCCACTGTAACCTCAGCTTCAGAGCACAGAAAGTCCCCTCCAACGTCAAGCTTAAGGCCTCAACTCTTTAAAATTCAGGCACCAGCGTCCCAGTCTTCCCTCGAGCCCTTCACCCCACACTCTATACCCTGAAGCCTAAGCCCTAAACCCCCTACCACACCGCCTAGTCACGAGGATCCCGCTGCAGAGCCATCCAAGGCGCCTAGCCCGCTGGAGGAGCCGGGCGTTCCCGAAAATCAGATGTATTTAAGGATTCCTTGAAAGGGTTACTATAAGTAAGGGTACTCAAGGGCTTCCCTGTAAAGGCATCTATAAGGGTTTAGAGTTTCCGAAAGTACGGGGTAACTTGATTTTGGGGTCCTTATGATAAGGATCCTGCTATTTAGGGTGCCATATTAGGGTCCCCTACTTCCGCAAACCCCCAAATTGAACCTGCAGAATCAGCATCTCGCGGCCTCCATCCTTAAACCACCGCTTATGTTTAAGAGAGCTCTTGTAGGAAGCTTACAGTAACCTACGTGGAACCTGAACCTCTGAACCCTAAAGCCCTTAACTCCGCAACCTTGGTCCAGGGTCGAGTTGCCCTAAAGCTTAAACCCTAAAACCCTGAACCCTCAGAACGAAAGCCTTGAATCCTAGACCCCTGGAGGAAGCCTCCACCTGACAAGCTCCTGAACCGAGAAACACCCCCGTAAGACCACTGAACCCATCTCCAGAATATCCCCCTTATACAGTACCACCAAACTTAAGCCTGCCATGTGGGTGGTTGTCAATATTAAGGTCCCGTTTTGGGTCCTCATTATAATACGGCACCTGATATGTAGGGCACCCAAAAAGGGACCATGATTTTGATAACTACCCATGTTGACTTGCCCCTCAGCAACGCTTGTTCTAACGTTTGAGGCTTTGAGATCCGTTGAAGCGACTGGCACCCTTCAAGTGCCTCAGCCCTAGCAAACGTCCGCAGATCCCATAAGGCCTTAAATCCCGCAAGTCGTCGCCTGAGGGTTTACATAGGGGTTTAAGGTTTAGGTTTCTGGTTTAGGGTTGAGAAATCAGGGCATAGGCTTCAGTTGTTTAAACCCTCAGCCCAGCAACGAAACGGACAAGCAAACCAGCAGGATCCTAGACACGAAAAGCAGCAACTCAAAGCAAGAACATCGAACTCTCTACGATGCTCAGCCCTAAGCCCTATAAACCCGAAAAGCCCTAAAACCCCTAAAACCCCTAAAACCTTAAAACCCTAAAGCCCCAAACCCTACAAAGCCCTAAGTCTCCGAGCCCTAAGCCTCAAAGAACCCTAAGCCCCAAAACCCTAAAGCCTCTCAACCCGGCTCCTCTTGAAAGACCGATACCTGCGGATACCAGGAGGAGGAGGCCGCACCCAAAGATGAAGCCTTGGAGGAGATCGGGTGAGGGTTTAGGGGTGTAGGGGTTTAGCTACTATTTGCTTAAGAAACCACCAAAAAATAAAAAATAATAATCCCTATATTACCCCCATAAGGAATATTTTTTTTATTTTTGGGGGGTTCTTAAGCAAATAGTAGTTTGGGTTTATAAGGGTTGAGGGGTTAAAGTTTAGGGTTTAGGGGTTAGGGCTGAGGGTTTAAAATCGAAGGCTGCGTAAGTAGTCTGAATATTCGTTAATGTACCCCAGAAACTTGTTCTATCCTTGTTGAGGCCCCTATATTCTTCAGAGTTTCGCGACTTATGGGTCATGAACTTAAGGGTTAGGGGTCTCTAAATGTTCTGTTAGTTCGGGGGCTTCGGGTTTAGTTTCCCGGCTTAGGTTTGAGCTTGGGTCCGTTTATCTACGTTTTGGGCTTAGGTTGGCTTAGAGCTTATAGGGCCCATAGGGTTCACGGCAGGGCCAAGGGTGGGAGGCAGGAGGCTAAGGTTCGCCTGCGCAGCTTGCGTTTCTGAAGTCGCCAGGAGCCGGACGGTGGTCGTCAGGGCACCCTCTTCGACGCCATGCCGGAGCCGAAGGCTCTGGAAGCCACGGCCTATTTCAGAGTTAACCGTAAGGGCGACTACAGAGGCTACTACGTATAGCAGTTTGGGGCTTTAGGTTTTGGGGGTTAGGCTGTTGGGTTTCGTGGCTTAGGGCTTCATTGTTTCAGGATGAAGGGTTCTGGATTTTGGGGTTCAACATCTATTTGTCTCTTTCGCCGTCTCTATTTCTCTCACCTCCTTGTTGTCTACTTGTTTCTGCAGGTCTCCATGGTGTTCCAGTGTATCCGTCATAGGCGTCGTCAGCCAAGCGAGACCTCCTTGGTGGCTCCAGGCCTTTGCGGTTGTGGTGCAACGGCTCTCGGGGCTCCGGGAGGAACAACCTTCAGCAGATGTTTAGGAGTTCTAAACCCCAAAGCCCTAAACCCCATGGCCGGGGTATCCCCCCCTTCTGTTCCGAACCCTGGAACTGAAATTCTCCGAAACCCGCTGCCCTTAACTGCTAGCAAAACCCTACACATAAGCCCTAACAGCGCTGCTCAAAAGCCAATGCAAGGGATTTTCTAGACCGCACAAGCCCCAGAGGCTAAACAAGAGAAATGCCTTTCAGGTCCAAAAGCACATACTTTAGGGAGCCTAAATAGTATAGTATACCCCGCCAAACCCTATTCTACTTATTAAGGTCCCTAGTTTACACTCCAGGAGGCAGACCCGGGCGCGGCGCGCGTGCTCGGGGACATGCCGCTGGTGGATCGGCTGCGCCGGAGCGGAGCCGCTTTGAGAAAAAGACAAAGACCTGTGGAGGGGGTTTAGGAGCTACACGATTCAATTAGGGGCACTGGTCAAGGGCTTCAGGGTTGAGGGTTTCGGGGTAGGGGTTGATGATTCAGAGCTTGGAGGGTTCACAAGGGGTTCTGAGTTTAGGGATTTGCGGTTCCCGGTTGACTTCGGGCTCGAGATTGAGGCTTCACTGTTTACGAGATGAGCACTTGCAGCTTTAGGTGAAGAGTAGAAGAAAGGTTTCCGGGAATCGGAATTTTAGGGAATATCTCTGAATTAGGCTTATCTTGCGTGGTCTCGCTGGAGTTGAGTCTTGTGAGGATTGTGTTTAGGCTTTGCTCGGCCGACCGTCAACATCGCAGCAAACCTCGGCTTGACCAGCATCTGCACAGGCATCTGTATACGAATAGCCCGAGCCCTTACATTGAACCTCTCTGGTCGAGACTTCATTGAGAGCTGAGGCGCCCATCCTAAAACCTAAGCCTCAGCTCTAAAGGCGTATACGACACACGAGTCATGCAGCGTTCAAGCTTGGGACTTGGCGAGTAGCGTTGAACCTGAACTCCTGAGAAAGCAGCCAAGGCTTAGGGCCGTCAGGGTAAAGTGTCGAGGGTGAGGATCTTGCAAAGCACGAACCTTCGTACATTCATAAGCCTCTTATATATCCCTTGTAAGAGCTCAATAAACATTTTTCATGACCACCTTTACCTGCCTGAACCCTGAACTTCAAGGTGTCGAATTGAAACGCTTCTTCTTTCGGTGGTCCCTGGGAAAAGTAGTGGTTTAGGGTTTAGGGTTTAGGGTTTAGGGTTTAGGGTTTAGGGGTTTCCCATCGGCATCCAAACTCGGGCTACGCGGAAGTCCAACCTTGTCACGGGAATCTGCAACTGACGTTTTGAGTCCATATGGTATAGGGAGTGTTCAGGGGTGTGCAGGGTTTAGGGTTTAGATATGACTGAGGCTTAGAGCTTAAGCTTGGGAGTTTGGGCTGAATTCTCTGAAAAGCAGAGTCTGCCAACTCACGCGTCTTACATGATTAGCATTAATATTCCTAAGGGCTCCTAAAGACAACTATACTAGAATATCCCTTGAAAGCCCTTTGCCTATATTTTTAAGGCCCCTCTATTGGGCTTTCGTGGCTTCAGAAGAGGTGCGCGGCTCTCTGGTGCGACTGTCCCATCAGATCCAAGCCTTCCAGGCCATGGGTCGGAATATTCAACATGAATATCCCTTACCTGGACCCCAAAAGTATGTAGAATAGTAGCCCTTATAGGGCTTTGGGCCATTATTTGACCTACTTTTTGGGGTTTAGGTATTCCTTTATGCACATGTCTGGTACAGTATGTCCCACAAACCCTATTCCAGCCATCAAAGCCCCCTGTATTGGCTGGCAGTCAGTCGACCCCGAAACGCATCATCCAGAGACTTTACGACCGATACTCTCCAGGAACCACAAAGCCCCAGTCTCGTAGAGCCGCAGTAGCCGAATCACACGGGTAGTTGTCAAAATTATGGCCCCTTTTTGGTACCCTAAATATTAGGTGCCATATTATATTGAGGACCCAAAAAGGGATCCTAATTTTGACAACCACCCACACAGCGCCTGAGGGGGTTGGTTAGGGTTTTGGCTTTAGGCTTCAAGGCTCAGGGTCGTAGAAGTGTGTCGAGGTTTTGTGAAACTCCAAAGCCTTAGGTCACTGCAAGAGTATCCATGCAATCGGGCTTGCGCCAAAAAATATCAAAAAAAAACACAGATCAACAGCAACACCAAGTGTTGGAGGTGTACTTGGGCAATAAGCGAGTGCAAGTTTAGATTGCATGTATGTGTATGTATGTACATGTACACATACATTATGTGTGTATATATTGGTCTACACAATGTATGTCAGATACATGCATGTATCCGTATCTTGTATACATAACTCTATACATATCTACATATATACATTTGTTTATTTATGTACACTTACATATGTAAACATCTGTACATGTAGTCTTTGGGTTCCTTATCTACGTGTGTGTTTATTTGTTGATGCAAATAAGCAGATAGCTGGCAGACAACTTGCACAGCCCCCAAACCCTGAACACCCCCAACGCCCTACGCCCAAATACCCCTGAATACCCTAAACGCTCAAAAACCTTAACAACACCCTAAAAGCTCAAAAAAAAACAGCAAAAGCAAACCTTAACCCTAAAGCCCCAAACCCTAAACCCTAAACTTTAACCCTCAACCCTAAACTCTAACCCTAAACTCTAAACTTTAACCCTAAACCTGAGCCAGGCCGACCCGACCCAACACTACGTTCGGCTCGTCTCTTGGCTCCGTTTCTCCGCTTCGATGGCGGAGCAGCTGCCAGCCGACGTCCTCGAGGCCTTGGGTTTAGGGCTGCCTTTTGGGGCTTTTAGAGAGGGTTTAGGGTTTAGGGGTATATATGGTCGACCATATATGTAGGATTTAGGGTGGCTTAGGGCTCTAAAAGAGGGTTTCAGGTTTCTTGCAGGTACCAGTATTTGTCGGGTTTGTAGGGGGTTTCTTTTGGATGTTACGAGGGTTTCTATCGTGTTCTATGAGGGGGAGGGGGTCTAGACGTGCTTGTATTATTGGAGCTTTACAGCATCAGAACAAGCTTTGGGGTATTTCGTAGTACGGCTGTATAAACTGTAAAGGTATATACACGGTTTAGGGTTTGGGGTTTAGGGTTTAGGGGGGAACATGGCTTTAGGAGGATTAGTGCTAGGATCCCCTATACTTTACCTTAAGGCCATGAGGATAATGATGTTCCAACTTTCTGGCTTCTACTGTACTGCAACTACGATAAAAGAAAGTCGGGCCTAAGTCTAGATAGGGGCCTTTACGAACAGGGGTTCAAGCTGGGGTTCTGTAGAACTCTCCCACATGGATAATATTAATCGTATATACCTCCAACCCTTCTCCAATTACTTGTTTGAGTTTGGGGTTTAAGATTTTACCGTTTGAGGTTTTGGCTTCGCAGTTTAGAGTTGCGGGTTTCAGGGTTAGGGGTTTAGAGTGTTGGGTGGGCAGGCCTTCAGTCACCAGTTTAGGGTCTTGGCGCCGGGCACCCTGTTACTTTCCCAGGTTTCCTGCGTTTTCGGAACATTTCAGCTGATTCTGTGGGGTGTGGATGGACATGCTGCAAACACTGGCAGGTACAGCACTTTGCCACTTTATACAACATGCTGCAGAAGAGACGTTTCTGGAACAAGAGGCCCTGTCCCAAACACTCGTGCTTTGTGCTAGCATGGCCGCAACATTTGTATTTACAGCGTTTTGCGCCATTTTACACAACAAACTGCAGAATAATATTTTGCGTTTCTCCAGAACTCTAGCAGCTGGTCTCTGCACAATATGATGCACACGGATCTGGTGACGGCGACGTTGATGATGATGATGATGATGATGACCATGGTCATGATCATGATGCTGCTGCTGCTGCCGCCGCCGCTGCTGCTGCTGCTGCTGGTAGTAGTGCTGGTCGTGCTGGTGGTGGTGGTGGTCATGGTGATGGGCAAACATCTCGGACAAGTGCGATAGTTTCCGCGATGCGCAAGAACATAAGTTTTCTGGACATCGTGCTGGGACCTCGGTGTTGTAGCACGCCCTTTTATGCATGGAAAGTAACAACGTGAGCCCTCACCCTCGGGTGTACCTCCAAACTCACAATGCTGACTTCTCCTGCAGTCCTTGTGAAGCCTCCCCGCACTTGATGGATAGTCTGTGCTTCACTGACTCTACTTGGGGTACCTATGTCCTCAAGCATCTCTTACCCGGAACCCATAGAGAACTAACAGCCTAGAACTCTTCCACAGGCCCTTCTGCGGCCTCTTTTGGCCCCGGCCCCTTGGGCGCAGATTGCTGGTCTCGACTTTTCGACGGCTTGGAGAGGGCTTTTGAGGTTTGAGGCTTCTGGCTAGGGACTTTAGGGTTATGGTTTAGGGACTTGTTGCAGTGGCTTCAGGGGTTAAGGCGGTTAAGGGGTCGGGCTGTTCAGGGCCTCGGAATGAGGAACTGAGGAACTTTGGGTTTGAAAATTTTGGGGGTGCAAGGCTTCGGGGCTACTATAGGGGCCTGAGAGGGGCCTTAATAATTGCCTATATAGTTTTAAAGGTTCCTTATTATAATTGCAGTAGCATGGGCGCCAAAATTCTATTCTAATTGTTAAGGCCCCTATATCATGTGGGTCCAAGTCTTCGGCCTTGCAAGGGCCTTGGATCTTTGGCCCATGGTTTGTTAGGGCTTAGGGTTCGGCAGCACCTGACAAAACTGTGTGCTGTCATACTTCTCGTGGGTCATTTAGGGTTTAGGGCTTAGGAGGTAGGAGCATAGTTAGTTCAGTCTAACTACATGTAAGCAGCTTTGATTGGACAACTGGCAGAACTATTTACTTATGATCTCAGCGAGTGCGACAGACCTTCAAGTAAGTATCCCCGCCACATCATATTTCCGATTCATAGCTTTTAGGGTTAATAAAGATGTTGCGACGGGTTCGTTTCTGTTTCAGGCTAATTCCCGTTAGGAAGGAGGATCGCCGCAGGAAGCCTTAGCTAGCATTCTGCAAGAGACGTGTACAAGCAACGTAAACAGATGTAGTTGGACGGTAAGCAACAATCATAATTTGAGATTGATGCGGTTAAGGATGCGGGGATTCAGAATTCAGGTTTGTAGCGGGGTTCGTGTGGATGGTTCGGTGGTCATGGTGTCGAGTCTAGGGTTTAGGATGCGGACCTCGCGGTCGAAGGCATTAAGGGGTGGTCGCGGGGTTAAGGTTGCAGAAGGCTTGCAGGCGACACAAGATAGGCTGGCACTCCCAAAGAAGTTAGTACCAAGTAGAAACAGTATGGCTCAACTATGGCTCAAGCTGGTCGGACCAAAGTACCTGGTGTAGCGGTACGTACTTCGACCCTGTGCGACTAAAGTCTAAGCCCCTAAATCCTTAAACCCTATACCCCAAACCCCTAAACTCTTCGAAGCCCTAAACCATAAAGCCCTAAACCCCTAAACCCTAAACCCTGAACCCTAGAACCCTAGAACCCTCAACCCCCAAACCCTAAACCCTAAACCCCCTGAACCCTAAACCCTGAACCCTAAACCCCTAAACCCTAAACCCTGAAATCCTGAACCTGAAAGCATCAAACCCTAAACTTTGCGCCTTTAAGGCTTATCGCTGTAGCACCGCCTTCCGAAGCTCTGGAAAGCTTCCGGACATCGTCACGCTGGACCAGGAGATCCGAGTCTTTGGTTTAGGGTTTCAGGTATAGGGTTTCGGGTTTAAGTTCAGGGTTCAAGGTTTAGGGTTTTGTTTAGGGCTTGGGGTATTTAGGATTTATAGGTTTTAGAGTTTAGGGTTGAAGGTTTAGGGTTTAAGGTTTGGGGTTTAGGGCTTTGGGGTTCGGCTTCAGGGTTCAGGGGCCGTCTTAGAGTCCTATAATGTAGCGGCCTTAAGAATTACCTATACTAGTTTGGTGGTTCTTTGTTACAAATATAGCATAACTCACCAAAAGGCCCTAGAGTATTCTTAATAGTAAGGCCCCTACATTCGGTTTTGGGGTTGAGGGTCTGGGATCTAGGATCTTGGGGTTTTAAATTGGGGTTCAGGGGTTGGGAGTTTAGGGTTTTGGGGATTTGGGTTTGAGGGTTAGGGTTTAGGGTTAGGGTTTGGGGTTCAGGGGTTGGGAGTTTAGGGTTTTGGGGATTTGGGTTTGAGGGTTAGGGTTTAGGGTTAGGGTTTGGGGTTCAGGGGTTGGGAGTTTAGGGTTTTGGGGATTTGGGGTTGGGAGTTTAGGGTTTAGGGTTCAGGGGATTTGGGGTTTGAGGGTTAGGGTTTAGGGTTCAGGGGGTTTGGGGTTTGAGGGTTAGGGTTTAGGGTTCAGGGGATTTGGGGTTTGAGGGTTTGGGTTTACGGCTTGGGGTTTGGAAGTTTCACGCTGTGGGCTGCGATCGAGACTGCACTCTCTCGACTATAAGCCCACCGTTGACGGTGAAACCCTAAGCACCCAACACCCCCACAAGCCCTGTGAGAGCTCTACAAGCACCTCAAGACATCATGTTTAAATAAGCCTTCTGAAGCCGAGAAAGACAACCCTAACCTGAACCAAAACCTTTCAGAGCTGCACCAGCCAGGCGCTGCAGCTTGATGCGAAGCGCCGCCGGGAGTATCTTGCGGAGCTCGGGCAGTGACTCGCTTTCTGCCAGGCTAAGGGTTTAGGGCTTCAGGCTTTTTGTTTCGAGGGGGGGGGGGGGTTCGGAGTATGATGGTTGGAATGAGAGTTTATGATGTTTTCAATGTTGTGGCTTAGGAAGCGAAAGGTTATAGCTGTTTGGAACTTAAGGGTCCAGGGAATTTGTGATGTAAGCTTCTTCAAGTGTTTATTCTAGGATTTGGAAGTTAAAGCTCTTACAGTTCATGGATTGTATGAGTTCGGGATTAGCATTAACCTGGCGATTGAGCCAGATAGTATTAACTTAGCTATAGTTTAGGAGTTATAGGGTTTAGAGTAGATCTCTGTACGCTGCATCTCTTGTTGTTGGTGTCTTCATGTCCGTATCTGCACATATACACATGAAGCTTGCAACCGGAGATCAAAGCAGTAGATCCTGAATACACAAGCTCCCAAAGCTGCTACGTTTTGGGTATACTGCCCCTTTAGTGTCTAAAATAAGTTTTGTATGATACGCCAGCCTATATTATGGGTGCTGCAACGATGGCACGGCAATGTTGAACCCTTGCAAAACTGCTACCCACGCGCCAAGCAAGACACAAGTGACATCGTTGAGTTTCTCCAGTGATTTCTGTGCTGACAACTTGGTTCTGCGGGAGACTCCCACCTTCTGCTAGTTAAATGTTGAACCGATGCCCAGTAGTACCCTTATTCCCTTTTTGTAGTCCTAGGTTCCTTATAAAGTTACCCAATACCAAAAAGAGAGGCCTTTTTATTCTTAGGTTACTGGGCATCCTGGTTTGTCTCCATTACAAAACTGAGCACCCCAAAAGCTTAAAACTTACCAACACCTAAACCCTGAACCCTAGGACCCTCCGCTTGACAACCCACAATCGACCTCTCTGCCTTCGGTCTGACGGACCCCACACTTGTTTGTCGGCCACGATCCCCAAGTCTGAAACTCTCTACACGCATGGCATTATTATTGCCGCATTGTATTACATTGTCATTGTTTGCCATATTATTTCGTTATTGTACTATTGCACTCGCATAGTTGCCAGTAGTGTTAGTGTTACTTATGTGTATGTTCACCATAACCGTGCTGGTTTAATCTGGAGCTTGAGGACTACGCTTGAATAAACAGGATGGAAACATGGGCATAAGACGCTAAGAGAAGGAACCCAAGGGATAATCTTGATAGTTCAGGCTTCAATGTTAGCCGGGCCGTGTGTCCTGCAAGCAGGTTTGGGGGCTAAGCTTAAGCACTCATCATCATCATCATCATCATCTCCAGGGCAATGAACCCTAAGCGCTACAATTGAGACGACGGTTTCGGGTTTAGACTTACAGCCGTAGACTACGGTCTTTACCTTCGCCGAGATCTTTCATCGATCGGTCCGGAGAGCGGCTGAAAGACGCCAGGCGCGGCAAGTGGGTCAAAGAACATTCGGACTCAGATAGCGGAATTGAGGTTAGTATATTTGGTGGAGCAGTGCTGCTTGGTTGATATTGGAGTCGCTACTTCCGCGCACAACTGTTGCCGTTCAGTGTTGCCAAGCCGTGTTTCAGGGTCAAGGAGGTCGTCCGCGGCCACTGCTAGTGTTGCTGCCACTAGCTACTATGACTCTATCACCTAGAGGCATTGCAATAGTTCTTTTAACGGTAGTTTCAGAGCCAGGGTCATGGACAGCATGACAGTTGTAGCAGTTGCCAGTATTGTGAGGACAGTAAGAAGTGCAAGAAAGGGCGAGCGCAAGTGGATGTTGTGCGACTGTTCGTGCGGCCTGTTCTTGTTAGTACCCTGAAACTGCCTGCCGAAGTGATGGCCAGAGAGATACCACACAGCAAGTGTCAATGTTCCAATCCCCAAGGCTGCTTTTGCAACTTGGGGAAGCCTCGGCTTGAAGGACGACGAAACGATAACCTAGTAGTAGAGTAGGGAACCTTTAACCTTTTTGGGGTTGTATAGCCCCTATATAATCCTTATGTAATCCAAAAGGTTAACCTTTATTTCCCCATGATACCCGACAAGTAGGAAAAGAAGGAAACCCCTGGCTCGATGGTCTGGATGCCCAAAGACCATCATCCTGTATCAGAGAAGAGCCGACATGACCAGCCCCTGAAGCCATGTGAGAGTTTCCCAAAATAGGGGACCTTAATATAGTAGCGTATGTAGTCGGATCCTTATCAAGGACCCTCCATTAAGGAGGTACCCGTAATTTTCGGAAACTGCCATTTAAGGTTCCGATGCCACTTGCTCCGAGCTGGAAGTAGCCCACAAGGTCTTAAGTGCTCCTGCTAATCCGACACTACAGGCGACAAGCCCCAAACCCTAAGCCCCATAGCCCGTACCGAACGGATTTGGACATGTAAGCAGTACGCATGTACGTACGGATCCAGAAATTATTCATGAGAAGCAAGTCAAAAAAAGGCAGCAATGTTCCATCAGGCATCCGGCCCACCACGGAATTTTTTTTGATCAAACCGAGGCACCTAGAGCCCCAAACCCTGTATCCGAGAACAGCCCTTTCTTGAAGGACAACCCCGAGTAAGCCACCCCCCAACAATGCGAACTATTATTTCCGTCCCAAACTCTTAAGCCCCACACCCTGAAAGCGCAAGACAACAACAAAAAAAAACAAAAGCATTAGCCGCCAAAAAAAACCCTTAACCCTAAATTTCAAGCCCTCCTACACCGATGATCGGGTCAGCGCTTGGGCCAGGAAGAGCTCGGAGTTCGGGCAAGTCCTTTCTTCGGCCTCCCGACTGGTTTAAGGTTTAGGTTTTTGAGATTTAAAGTCACAGGTTTTATGGCTTTAGGGTTTGGTATTGACGGTGTGGGTTTAAGGTCTGTTTGTTGTCAAGGTTTAAGGTTTAAGGTTCAGGCTTGCAGATTTAGGATTTCGGGTTTAGTGTGGAGTTACTTACTGTCTGCTTGCATCCTCGGCTCTCCGGAGACTAGAGAAAACCAGGGCGCTCCTTGGAAACCCCAGTAGCTAGGTCTTTCAAGCTCGTATGTCTAATTTTGCGTGCAAAAACGTACAGTTACAAGGGAGTCTCCCAACTAGGAGCACCCTCTTGGTTGGGTGCTGGGGTTCTGTCATGATTATAATTTGCGTGAACTACAATCACGACTATGAGAACCGCTGGTTGGTGTTATGATTATATTGCGACGATTATTACAGCTACCAGTGTTACCCTAAACCCGTATGATGAGAAAGCGTTTAGTTAGTGGGTTTGAGATTTTGAGGGTCTGCGGTTGCAGTTCAGGATTATGGAGACTGTGCGTCTACAGGAACTTGTAGCCTGTCATTAGAACTGATAGTGCTCTAGGTACGGCTATGAGCATAGTCCGTGTCTTTATTTGGTTAAGACTGTACTATGACTATGGATATAGTTCGCATTGTGATTATTGTGATTCGTAGTTCGGTGGCAGTTGCTGTAATGGTTATGGCTGTAGCATTGCGATTCGCATACTGGTTGGCATCAGTGGTCTGGCCATTTGCATACTGTATCGTAGTGTAGTCTTCAGAAGGAATCAGAAGAGTTAGCTCCAGCAGGAATAATAGGACTCTCAATCTAAGGAAAACCTTAAATCTTGAAACCCTAAACCCCACACCCGTCAAGCCTATACTATAGGGGCCCTATTAATTTCCTATGCTATTTTGGGGATCCCTTATATACTATAGTCACTTATAGTACAAGGGGCCCCAAAACCCTATTCTAACTAATAAGGCCCTATATCGTAGTACCCTTGCAACATCCCATAGAGTAGCCCTCATATAGATCCGTTTCCAAGGAACCCCAATCCAATTATTCAGGCCCCTATATTGAACCCTAAGCCCCAAATGAGGAGCCCTAAACCCTAAACCCCTAAGCCCCAAAGGAAGAGCCCTAAACCCTAAACCCCGAAGCCCCAAAGGAAGAGCCCTAAACCCTAAACCCCGAAGCCCCAAAGTAGGGGCCGAGACTGTCGCGAGGTGCGAAAAGCCGTGGAAGCTCGGCGGACCGAACGCGTGCAGAAGCGTCGGCTGCAGCCGGTGACAGACCCAGAGGCCTAGAGATGGGAGGGTTTGGGATTTAGGGGTTTAGGGTAGATGGGAGGGTTTGGGGGTTTGGAGGTTCTAGGGGCTTTCTGGAATACTTTACTTTAGTGTTTAGGGTTAGGGTTTGGGGGTCTAGGGTTTGGGGTACAGCTGGGTTCTGGAGTTCTGTACTTTGATACGTTTTTAAGGACCTGTTCCTTAGAGGCGTATCACGTTTTAGGTTTAAAACCCTAAACCCTCAGAGATCGGATCCTGCAAGCCTTTGGGGGAGCTCGAGGAAATGATCCCGGACCCTACTTGGAGGGTCGGGGGACTTGGTAAGTAGGTAGTAAGTAGACTTATAAGTACCCTAAAAGGGATCCTAGTTGGGGTTATGGTACTTATAAGTCCCTAAAATTACCAGTTACTAAGTCCCCCGACCCTCCAAGTAGGAGGTACTGAGGGTTTAGGGTTTCAGCTTTAGGGCATGCGGTTTGTGAATTTAGGGTTTCAGTACTTTCGGACTTAGGGTTTAGTAGTTCTTGGCTTATAGCTTAGGGCTGATAAACTTTAGGCTCTAGGGCCTTGGTTCGAGTGTCCTGTGTAAGGTTCCCCTTTGAAGATATACTTTCGAGGGAGTGTGTTCCCACTGGTCATTCCTTGCCTCCTTCAAACAGATCAGCCATCAGTTCAGACGCCTCAAATCCAAAGAACAAAGGTGAACTAATTTGGGGTCTGAATGAACAGCAGTCATTTTCCCATATAGGCCCTATGTAGTTACAGCACACGCGCCAACCCTAGTTTATCTATAACTTTATGGCCTCCATCCAGAGCGCCCTGTATAACCCTAGACCCTAAACCGCCTAATGCCCGCGCACAAAACAATTCGGAAGGCTGCCGCCGCAGCGAGACGCGGAAAGAACCGACGCCGTGTACAAGGCAAGAAGAGGAAGTTGGAGGAGACGCTTGGTCTCTGAAGGAAATCGCCTG